CCGCTGGTGGGGGAGCAGCCAGGCGCTGGGCGGCCCAGGGCTGGGTCCTGCCCAGTCTTCACAGGGGCCACGTCCAGAGATCAGACTAAGCGAGCAGCTCCCCAGGGCCTCGGGCCGGCTCAGTGCTGATGGAGAAAGAATCCAAAGGTTCAGCCTCGACCCCGAAGACCTGCACCCCCAGGGCACCTGGGCCAGGAACAGTGGGCCCATGACTGAAGAGCAGAGTGGACATCGGCCCCCTCATGATGAGCGCCCGAGGTCCCCTGGACCTAGGACCACAGGCTGCAAGGGGTTCCAGGCCAAGGAAGCCTGGGCTCCTGTGTCCTTCAGCTTTTCACGGAGGCTGACCCCAGCCTCTGATGTCCCCGCCTGCAGGCAGAGCTGGGGGACCTGAGACCAGAGTCCAGGCAGAGACCCACAGGGAAGGGACTTTGGGCACGTACACACCTCAGCTCACCCTTTGCACTCATCTGTGCCTGTAATGGGCCTTGGTGGCATCGTGGGGACACGTTGGGCTGCTAACTGCAAGGTCGGCTGTTTGAAACCACCAGCTGCTAAGCAGGAGAAAGATGGGCTTTCTACTCCCGTAAAGAGCTACAGTGTCAGAACCACGGGCAATTCCACCCTGTCCTACAGTCAGCACCGACTCCACGGCCATGAGTTTGGATTTCCGGTTTGGTCCCTGTAACGTCCTCCTGGACTGGGGGCTCCAGGATCAGTCAGAGTGCTGGCCTGTGTGGGGTACTCCGGACACCTTTGCTGCACATGTGCGTGAGTGAATGAGTAACGGAGGGTCTCAGTTGGACCCTGTGGGCTGCACAAAGCAGGTGCACCTCCCCCCACAGCAGAGAAGGCTCCTGACCCCTTGCCACCTTGCAGCTGAGCCTCTGAGGCCCACAGCCACCCTCATGTGACTGACTCACACTTCCCCCACTCCTCACGGGGCTGGCTCACACCCCCCAAGTGCGACTTCCCCGCCTGGTAGCGCAGGCCTGGGTGTTTGGATCCAGAGCTGCCATGGTCACCCTGGGCAGGTCAGAGCAGAAGGACCGGGCCCTGCTCAGATTGTGTACACACACAACACACGGCCTGTAAGCATTAAGTCCTGCTCCTCTGGGGAGCAGTCTGCCCAGGGCCCCTCGGGTCTCACAGCAGACCCCTCAGCACCCAGCCTTACTTCCCACCGCTCAGCCTGCCGCTCACAGCCTGCCACTTCGTTTCCTCTTGATTGATGATCAGAGCTGATGAGTTTGGGGAGCAGCTGTCTCGCAGGGATAGGCAATCCATCCTGGAGGGGACTGGTGAACTCGAACGTCCATTGGGGAGCCGGGCAGGGACAGACCTGTCTCCGCCATGCCAGGCTCAGACTCCCTGCAGATCAGAAGGTCAGAGTGGACCCGGCGCTCCTGCCTCTGCTGCCCTCTCTGCAGTGACCCTGGTCTTGCTTTGCCCTCGGAGACTAGAGCAGCGTTTCCCTTCCTCCACCCTCAGCGGCCACCGTGTCCCCATTGGGGAGTGGGGGGGGGCGGCCAAGGCGCAGCCTCCCACACACACCACACCAGGCTCCCTCCTCTCAGCTGCACGCGGGTCCTATGCTGCATCGGTCCCTCGCCCTGGCAAGTCAGAGCCAGGTCTTGAACCTGTGGCCTCTGAGAACCTTTGGGGGTGCCCTGTGTGCCGACTGCTGCTCTGACTGGGCCCCCCTCCCAGCCCTGTGAGGTGTCCTGAGGGCAGGCAGGGCCGCGGGACTTAGCACCCCAGGATGCGGGCGTGCCCTCCCCAGTGCTCTCTGTGCTTCTCCCAACTGTAGGAACCTGCTAACAGGGTCGTGCAAGGGGGTACTTGGGAGAGGGGTGCAGCCCTCAGTGAAGACGGTCAACGCCACCCCACCCCCGCTTCTCCAGAAACAGCCCTGTCCACCCACCCCCACCTGCCCCCCAGGCCCCTGGCATCCTCTCCTCTTTGGGCGTTCACGGATGAAGACCTTGGACGAACAAGTCTGGGGCCAGGCCTCTGAGACCCCTGGGTCTTGTCTGGGGTGGGGGGTGTCTCTCCTGACTTATTGGGTATCATGGTGGATCACCCGCTTTGCCGTCAGCAGTTCACACACATTGGTTCAGATCATCCTCTGCAGGGCCCTCACCAACCCCCTTCCCCCAGGCGCCCTGCTTCCATCCCACCGCCTCTCCTGACCCTCTGAGCTGTGTCCTGAGGTCAGGGCTGCCCTGGAGGAGGGAGTGCATGGACACAGGGCTGCGTTCAGTTCTAGAGGGTCACACTAGCCAGTTTCACCAGCCTCTCGCCGACCAGTAAGCCTGGTCTCTTCCACAATTGTGGGTCCCCCCACTCTGCCCAGGACCTTCCATGGTGACCCTTCTCAGAGCACTGGTGGTGGTGGTGGCCGGGCCCAGTCTGAGCTCCTCTGGTCTCGGGGGCTGGTGGTAGAGCCTGATGCTTGCGGTCCGGTAGTCCACTGGGCTCGACTCCACGTGTCTTTCGACATGGGTCACTCCTCCGGACGGGGACAGCGAGAGAACAGTCCTGCCACCCCAGACGGTTACTCATGAGCTTCCAAGACCCCGGCTGTACCTCAGCCAGGGAGGACGTAACCATCGTCCCCATGCGTCTCCTCTTCATCCCTTGGCCCCCACAGAACCCTTGTTGGGGGAGGGGTTTTAAAAGTGTTCGCTGCCTCTCCCCTGCTTTGAGGGTCTGTTCCCTGCGTCTGCGGGGTGGGGAGAGGGTAAGCGTGTGCAGCATTTGCTATGTGGCTGACCCTTAAAGAGGCAGCCCTCCCCCGAGAGAGACTGGTGTCCTCCAGCTGCTAGTGGGTGAGCTGCGCTGATCCTCCGTGTGTGGTTCACCTGGGGGGCCGGGAAAGCCCACACAGGTTCTCCCGTCCATGCGCAGTGACCTCCTCCCTCTCAGGTTAAGGTTTCAAAGGAATGTTTACTTTCGGGGGCAGGGGGAGGCGGAAAGTTGGATCTGGAGTTAAAAGCCTGGCCTCACCGCCATGGAGTGGGTGCCGATGCTCAGCGGGCCCGAGGGCCCCGAGACTGTGGAGTGGACAGCCCCGTTTTCGTCTTTCTCTCCCAAAGAGGGGCGGGGGGTTCCCCAAGCTGCTGACCTGGAGGGTCTCAACGTAGCGTGCCATCACACTGCTGGCCGCCGGGCTCCTGAGTTGAAAGCAGTTTCCATTCAACGCGGCGTGCGTCCACTCATCCCTCACAGCCAGGGCTTGAGGGACCGGCCTAGATGTTCTAGAAAAAGAGCAGCTTAAGCCCCCGCTAGATGCAGACCCAGCTCCCCAGCACAGCCTCTGTGCTGCCGCCTGCGTCCCTCCTCTGAAAACAGCTGGGCAGTTGACTGGTTGGTGACCAGCAGGACCGAGGAAAAAAGCCCCGGGCCAGGGCGGTGACTGTCACTCCCCAGGACGACCTTGTGTCCCTCCAGTGCCTGGGGGGCTGGGGTGGACGTGGGCGGGGAGCTCACAGCCCCGGACAGGCTGCGGTCAGCGCAGCTCTGCATCCAGGAGGCCCCAGAGGACACCCCCTGAACAGGGCAGGCTGTGCAGGCCCCTGTGAGCCTGGGGAATCACTCCTCCCAGCTGCCCCAGCAACTTTGTAACCCTTTCTGGCCCAGGATCCTGCCCCCACCCCAGAATTCTTTGTACTCCTGCACGCATACCCCAACCCTACATAGACGCCCCGCTCCTCACATGGAAGCCCCATGCACACGCCCTCATATTGCCCTTCCACATCTGCCCTCCCTTCACGTGTGGTACCACATCTGCATGTACCCTGCATGTGTACACACACGCACACTCCTGCCTCCAGGCGCCTACTGACTCGGCTCTCTGGGGCCCTGGGTTGGCCTTGGGGGAACAGGGAGGCACCTCAGGTGCAGGCCTTTTCTGCCGCTCCCAGAGGGTTAACTCAGAAACAATCCCCGCTTTCCCCTTGGCTGGGCAAAGCTGAAAGATTTGTGATGTCCGCCAGCGAGGACAGTCGCAGCCCCCCACCCCCCTCAGTCAGGAGAGCAGCCAGGGACGTCACTGACTTCGCTGCCGTTTCCACAGAGGCCCTTCTCCGGGCTGATGAAGACAAACAGCCACGGTGCCCGCCAGTGGCTGTGGGAAGTTACTCTTCCTGCCGGGGGCTGGGGACTCGAGGTGGCATGAGGGACAATGGCAGCTGCCCAGGGAAAGAGCCGGTACAGGGCCGCGTGCCCATTCCTGGCCCGCCCATGCCTAACCCAGGGGTGCCAGGGGCCATCACGGCTTCCCCCAAGGCCTCGGGACGTGTCTCAGGGCTGCGAGCTCCAGAAATGGAGGCGGGGGACACCAGGGCTGCAGGAGTGGCCACAAGTAGCCGGTCTGGACAGTGGAGACAATCGGTGTCAGAAGCCAGAGGCGGAAGGAACTTGTTGGATCTTGAGGGCTTAGGGTGCCCAGGGCCCTTGCCTGCGTGCAGTGCCTGTTCCCTGCTGGCCCTGCCCTCCCCACGTGCTCTTTAGAGTGCCCAGTGGGTGGGGGCGAGGGGGCTGCTGTCTCGAAGGGAGAGCTGCAGGGTCTGAGCCACTGCCCTGTCCCCTGACCGCATCCAGGCGACCCAGGACTGCCCTCTGGAGCTTCCTCCTGCCTGGAGTGACCACTGACAGCTTCCAGGAGCAGGCCACGCTTCTGCTCACTCTTGTCCCTGTCCCCTCCCGTGCCTAGCAGAGGCCCCGGGTTCCAGAAACCTCCTCTTTCTCCCCAGGGTCCCCGCACCAGAGTGCTGACTCCCTGCCTGAGCAGCAAGCTGCCAGCCGTAGGGGGAATGACAGGGTGCTGGGTGGGCCTGCCTGGATCCTGGCATCCACCCTCCTCAGAGGAGCCAGCCCGGCCTGCCCCAGATAAGCAACCTGCACCTGCCCGGTGACCCGGGCACAGGGCCCTGGCAGATCAGCCCCATCGGGGTGGCCGGGGGCTGATGTGCTGACTCCGCCCTCTCCTCCCACAGCGTTCGCCATCATGATTGTGCTGGCGCTGGTCCGCATCGGGCACGGGCAGGGGGAGGGCCGCCCAGCCCTGGCCGACCCCGCGGGGCTCCGGAACCTGTTCGGCGTGTGCGTGTACTCCTTCATGTGCCAGCACTCCCTGCCGTCCCTCCTCACCCCCGTGTCCTCCAAGCGCCACCTGACGCGGCTGGTCCTGCTGGACTACGTGCTCATCCTGGCCTTCTACAGCCTCCTCTCCTTCACCGCCATCTTCTGCTTCCGCGGCGACAGCCTGCTGGACATGTACACCCTCAACTTTGCGCGCTGCGACGTGGTGAGCGTGGCGGCCGTGCGCTTCTTCCTGGGCCTCTTCCCGGTGTTCACCATCAGCACCAACTTCCCCATCATCGCCGTCACGCTGCGCAACAACTGGAAGACGCTCTTCCACCGCGAGGGCGGCACCTACCCCTGGGTGGTGGACCGCCTGGCCTTCCCCACCATCACGCTGCTGCCCCCCGTGGTCGTGGCCTTCTGCACCCACGACCTGGAGTCCCTAGTGGCCATCACCGGGGCCTACGCAGGCACCGGCATCCAGTACGTCATCCCCGCCTTCCTGGTTTTCCACTGCCGCAAGGACATCCGGCTGGCCTTCGGCCCCGGCACCGCCAACAAGCACGCATCCCCCTTCCACCACACCCTCTGGGTGGGCTTTGTGCTGCTCTGGGCCTTCTCCTGCCTCTTCTTCGTCACGGCCAACATCATCCTCAGCGAGACCAAGCTCTGACGGCAGGACCCCACCCCTGCTCAGGCTCAGCCTGCCCGGCCGCCGCAGACCCTCCTGGCCCCCATGGGGGAAGACGAGGGGCACTGGGCGTCCACCACCTGGCCCCCCTCCTCCCCCCGACGCACGCCAGCCAGGCCAAGCAGCCTGGCCCCAGGACCAGTCCTCATTAGCGTCGCCTCTGCTGTAAGCCGGCAGGTGCCCACCCCACCCAGGTGGTGGGTCACAGCGCTGGTGCTGCTGCTTCTGTATAAGAGACTACTCGCCCACCCACCCCACCCCCCAAGGCAGCTCCGCGCACATTCAGCAGGAGCTGCTGCCTTCTGTCCTCCCCGCGCTGCGGTGACAGGGCTGGTCTGGCCACCAGGTGAGCACAGGAAGTGCCAGAGCCATGGGGACAGCAGGCTGTGTCCCCGCTGTGAGGTCACAGCAGCCCCTGGGTTGGGTTTAACCCTGAGCTGTGACCTCTGCTGTCCACTGCTCACAGGGGCTTCACAACGGGCACCTCCAGCACTGCCTGTGCTAATGAACTCCACGCCAAGGGGCCGCAGGTGTGGGGAGGGCCCACTTCCCAGCTACCTGCCCCTCGGTCTCCCAGGCACCGGACACAGTTGAAGCTGATGAAGTCTGAGTTGTTATTGTGCCTTCTGCTTCAGGCCCCGGGGCCTTCAGGGCCCTGCTGGCCGGGGGCCTGGAGCTGCCTCAGGTGGGGGGCCCGGGCCCCACCTCCCTCTCTTGATGTTAGTGCCTTGCGCAGCCCTCTTCCTGGGGACACTGTCCCCCCACCCCGGTATCCTTGCACCTAGGACAGCAGGCTGGCTTGGTCTCCCGGGGTCAAGGCAAGGGTGCTGCCTGAGGATAAAGTTGGCTGGGGTCCACAGCAATCCCCGAGCCCGCCCGTGGGGTACGTTAGGCCCTGGAGGCTGCACCTGCTCACCTTCAGCTCCCAAAGCATGCCTTCCAGTCTTCCCCGTCCACAAGGTCGGCCAGTATGCGCTGCTTTCCCCCCTGCCCTTGGGCTCTTTCCCAGGGGGCGCCTCCCCGGGGCTTGTGGAACAGGAGGGTGCTAAGGTGGTAGCCCCAGGGATGAGGAAGACAGAGCCAGCCCTCCCCAGAGCTGCCTGGCTGGCTGACACTAAGAACTCCATGAAAACAGCTGCAAGTACGCTCCCTCCAACTTAAATTAAGGGCACCGCCAATTGAATCCCCCCCGCCCCAGGCTCCACGTCGAGTTTGGGATGAAGTGGCTGAAAGCCCAGGTTGGTTCGGTGACACTCATGAGCCACACACCACAGCCAGTTGGACTGTTGGCCCTGCCACCTCCGCTGTGGAGGCCACCAGTGCCCCCGTTGACCACACTATCTGCCCTCCTGGAGGGATCGCCACCTTCTCCAACCAGTGGGGGTCCAGGCAAGTGGGAGAGGACCCCCACTGGCTACATGCCCCCCTCCCCCCCGGGCTGGCTCTCGTGTGTGTGTCCACTCCACTGGCCCTGAGTTTCCAGGCCACCTTGGTGAACCGGGTCCCAGTTTCCCCTTTACAGATGGACCCAGGCTCCCGGCGGCCAGCCTGGCCCGGGGATGGGTGTCAATTTAGGGAGCAGCTTTGCCCACATTACAGGGCCCGCACTGGCCCCCTAGGACAGGCCAACACTCTACCTTGCTCCCTGCCTGAGCCTCCCAACCTGTCCCTGCCGGTCACACCTGGCCAATCCCTCACCTGAGGCTCTGGATGGGGCAGGTGGGAAGTGGCCAGTGGGCACCTCGCCAAACCCTGGGCCACACAGCTGTTCTCACTACTTGGGGCCAAGAGCAGAAGCTGAAGTTGGCGTGGTTAGGAGTGCTAGTTTCTGCCACATACCCCCACCCCACAGGCAGCACGTGGAGCAGGGGAGGCTGGCAGTGCCAGGCCTGGGCCAGGAGACTGTGGGAAGCAAGCCAGATGCCTGCCTCAGCCACGAGAAAGATGACCCTCTGAGGCCAAGACCCAGGACCGTCCACGGAGCTTTGCAGGTTGTGGGGCCAACAGAGCAGTGACAGGCTGGGGACAAGAAGGACAAAGGTCAGCCTGCAGCAACAGTGGCCACACAAGGGACTGGACTAAAAGCAGCCCTGCCAGGTGGCTCTGTGGCTCATCCATCCCTGTAAAATGGGGTGAGTGTTTGGGACGCGGCCGCTCAGGCCTACTCAGTAAAGCCATTATTTATGGGTTCCGCCTCTCATGTCCCGGTTCTTTCACTCACCATGCTCGGAGCTGAGGGCCACCAGCCTCACTTAGACGCACGATTCCCACCTGGACCCCCACTTGGTGTCATACATGCAGACGGGCTGGTTGCCCGGCCTCCTCGGTTGTCCATGGACGGAGGCGGGGAATGAATGTGAGGTCTTCAGGGACTAAAGGCTTAGGAGAAAGACGCTCCCACTTTCCCCCTCCCAAAGAGTCAGATGTGGGGGTGACCAGGCTGGAGCTGGGGACCCTCGCTAAGGGTCTCATGCAGTCCCTTCCCAAGCTCTGGTCCCCCGCCTCTGGAGCCCGACGGGGTGGATCACGCATGACTCGGCCTTAGCTAAGCTTCACAGTCATGACCGGGTTAACTGGTAAGCACTTCAAGTGCTGAGACGAAACCCCGAGCCCTGTCTCCCTGCACCCCACCCAGAGGCAGGCACTGAGGTATTGGTGCGTCTGGGTGAGGGCCCTGGCTGGCCGTGGGTCAGTCCTGTGTGAGTTGGAGCTGAGACCTGGAGTCCCTTCCCAGGCAGTTGGCAGATTTTTACCCTCACTTGGGGAGGAGCCCCCCTGAGTTCACTGCTCCCCGAAGGAGCAGCAAGGGCCCCTCCTTGGAGCCAGGCAGCTGCAGCGCAGCTCCGTAATTGGCTTCTACTGTTTATCCCAGCACTTGGTGTGAATGATGGGGCCAGTGAGAGGGAGCAGCTGGGCCTGGGGAGTGGGGGGGGTGAGGCGGGGCTCCAGCCCCGCCTGCAGCTGCCTTCCACAAGCACTCTGCTCAGGGTGTAAATGGGGTCAGGTGAGAGGCTGGGGGGAAGGGACAGCAGGTGAGCCCTCTCACCCCCAGTGGCTGCCTTCTTCAGCACTGGACCTGCCACACACACACACACACCCCATGGCTGTACCTCCACAGGGCAGAGTGTGAATGCACTGAGCAGATCGGGGCCAGGGAGCCTGGTGGTGCAATGGTTAAAGCACTTGGCTGCTAAAGTCAAAGTCAGTATCTGTAACCCACTCTGGCTGCTCGGAAGACTAGCTCACAAGGTCTCCGGTGGGGGTGACAGTCCAGGGAGCCCTGTGCAGACAGCGCTACTCCGTCCCATAGGGTCATGGTGGATCCAAGTCAGTTTGCCGGCATCCAAGGACACCTGGGACCCAGTATCCTTGGGGCAGCCAGGTGACCAGCCATGAACAGGACCTCAGGAATCCCCCAGAGGGGTTTGCTGTTGAGGGAACTTCCCCTGCCCACCCTACCGCCACTCTCCCTTAAAATCCAAGGAACATGTCCAGTTGGGGGGCTCTGCTGCGTCTGCAGACCAAAGAGGGAAGCCGGCCTCCTGGGAAGCTCAAGGTTTCTGGGGAATGAACCTGGGACATGGACTCCTGTGGAGTTCCCCTCCCCAGCTCCTGCAGCAGTCCATCCCAGCCCTGCCTCCAGCCACCTGGACCAAGACAGCAAAGCCCCGGTCTGTGTAGCTGCAGCAGTCCAAAAAGGGTCTGGTATGGCATTACACCATGTCCCCTTTCCTAAGAGACCCTTTAGTTGTGACTGGGCTTTGAATTCTGTGTAGCCTTTGCAGATGGGTCTTAGAACCCAGAGAGGTAAATGGAGAACACTCAGATGTCATCCTTCCCTGGAGTGACTGCTGAGTGACCTCCCTGGCTGACCTTGCGGTTCACAGTCCACTGTCTAACCCCCTATGCCACCAGTGCGCTCCTGGAAGGTAGGGGAGGTGTTAAATTGCAATTGAAGGTATAAACGGCAATAGAGGATGTTAAAACATGGAAAAGCATAAGCAAGGGTTCAAAAGAGATGAGACAGGGCCAATAACAGATGAGAGAAGAGGTGGGCAGGTGCCCCGGAAGGAGGTGGGGGACAGCAAGCAGCCAGTGACATGGTCAGTGTCTCCCAAGTAGCCTGGACAGGACACCCAGAGCCCCTGGCAGGAGCCTCTGTTCAAAGAGACAGGGTGGCCTCCATCCATCACCACAGAGTCAAGTTCAAAGCTCATTTGTCACATCCGGCCCCAGGGTGGGTGGGAGCCAGGCTGAATACCAAGTACCAGCTGCTGCTCACTACACCCCCTTCCAGACGCTCCGGGGCCAAGTCTCCCCCGAGGGGCTGCTGCCTGCTCCAGTGGCACAGCACCAGGGATACTCCCACCAAGCTCCCGTTGCCTCCAGACAGGTGTGCCCCTCCATAGGGTGCAGATTGAGGCGGCCAGGCCTAGTGGGTTGTACAAGATATGTTTAATGCCCCCACACTGTGATGGGAAGACCCTCCACCCCCATGGACCACGGAGGGGCTTGTCCTGTCCATCCTGAGTGCCCCACGAGGCTCCAGCTCACACCAGAGTGAGGAGACCCTGGCACCATCGCTCCCTAGAGCTCCAGGCAGGGAGGGGACAGCAACTGCCCTACCTACGTTGGGCTCTGATGCTGCAATGATCAGGGCCCAGCACCAGGGCTCCTGCAGAAGCTAGGAGTGCCCAGACCTAGCCCAACTGCTCAGAGGCGGTCACCCCCACTGTTGGCCTCACACTTCCGACTCCAGGCTGGAGAAGCGTCTCCAGGAACAAGGGCCAGCTTCGGAGCTGTGAGCCCCACAGGCTGCCCTGCTGATCTCCTCCAGCCCACCACTGTCCCTGTAGCCTGTGCTCAGTCCCAGAGTCCGGTTTCTGCGGCCCTGCGGACCCCAGACCCCAGGAAGCCAGGGCCTGTGGCTGGCACAGGGGGGGAGGTGAGGGCCAGCAGCACGCCAGCACAGCGGCGTGTGGGCGTGAAGGCAGGCGTGCTGTCTGTGCACGCAGGGGGCCAGCACGGCCTGCTGGCAGGCCACACGGCAGGGTGGCAGTCGCAGTGACAGCGCTGGACGCCCCCAGGCCGGCCGAGCGTCCCCACAGCTGCAGGTGGGCCCGGCACAGGCGGCAGGCAGGGAGCTGGGCCGAGCGAAGGCCGCGGCCACCGCGCTGGGCAGGGAGGCGTGGCGCGGGCGGGGACTGCGGGCCCAGGCCGCGTGCAGCAGGGCCTCCCTCCGGGCCAGCTGCTCCGGCCCGAGCAGTGGCAGGTCCTCAGGGTCCGAGGACTCCGGGAAGAGCGGGAGGAAGGGGCGCGCTGCCCGGTCGGTTCTTGGAAAGGAGTTGTAAGGACAGCGCGCAGGAGTCGGGCGCTCCGGTAGAGCGTGCCGCTCCGAGGACCAGGGGTGGCGCCTGGCCCGAGTCGGACACCGCGTCTCCCAAGCCAGCCGGCCCGGCGCCCAGGGGTTGTCGGACAGTGGCAGCGCGGGCACCGGGGCACGTCCGGGAGGCTGCAGAGCACCGCGCACCAGCGCGGCGCGACCCCCTGCCAGCGGCCCCCAGGCCTTGGGGCTGGGTTCAGGGGGCGCGCCCGGGGTGGGTGGGCGCGCGGCTGGCGTCAAGGGAGCGCGGCGGCTGGCCCAATTCTCAAAGGTGCGTGTGGCGCGGTCCAGGGAACTGCTCACGCCCGCCGTGGTCACCATGTCGTGCGCTGCCTGCAGCATCTTGAGCACGCTGGCCTGGGCTGAGCTGGCTGTGAGGTCCGGGCTGGGCGCCCGCGCGGGGCTGGCCAGGCTCTGCACACCGCTGAAGCAACTGTAGATGCCCTGGGCACAGGGAGGGAGGGCAGACCATGGTGAGCAAGGCTCACTGGGGCATCACCCTGCTGCTCACCCAGCCACCACCCCATTGCCCCAAGCTTTTTTCTAGCCCTCCAAGCCTGGAATGTGTGTGAAGGGCCTTCCAGGTGCCCAGTGCTGTGCCTGACATTCTACAAGCCCCCACTCCTGCTCACCCAGGGGTTCCCAAACCCGATATTCTCTCATCTCCCCTGCTGACCCACTGCCCCCCTCCCCAGGACAGCCTTTCCCCTCTGTAAATGTGCCCTGCGCTCCATCGGAGGCACCCACCCTGCTGAAGGCCAGCAGGAAGTCCAGCCGCGACGTGTGGGGCACAGAGTGTCGCAGCTTCCAGTAGACCAGGTGCTCCCAGGCGAAGACCAGCAGGGCCAGCCCCATGGCCACCAGCAGCATGTAGAAGACCCCCGCCATGTTGTCAATGTCCAGCTTACTGCTCATCACCTCGTTCTTCTCGTTCTGACAGATGCCCGACAGCCACACCGTCTCCAGCTTCTGTGTCTCCCCTGGGGAGGAGCAGGCAGGCTCAGAGACCCCCAGGAGGGACCCCACGTCTCTCCAGGGAGGACGGGCCAGGGCACCATCTCTTGTCCCTCAGTTGAGAACACATAGGGATACAGCCCAACAGTGGAGGAAGGACCCCTGAACAGGAAGAAAGGGAACCCAGGAGGGCAGAGGGCAACGCCAACCTTGGAGCTCTGCGCCCACGTGCCCAGCACAGGCTTGTTGGCCTGGTGAATCTTATCGGATGCACTCATTACCACTCTCGCTCTGAGCCACAAGGCAGCCACCCCCAGGAGACCCCAGCCCGCACACTGCTGTGTTCTCATTGCCTTGCCACCATGGGGAGGAATGAGGAGCCCTGGTAGCATAGCGGTTATGCATTGGGCTGCTGGCTGCAAGGTCAGCAGTTCAAAGCCACCAGCCTCTCCACATGAGAAAGATGAGGCTGTCTTACTCCTGCAGAGGGTTACTGTCTCTGGAACCCACAAGCAGCTTGACGTACCCTAGCGCAGTGGTTCTCAACCTTCCTAAGGCTGCGACCCTTGACCTTTTAATACAGTTCCTCATGTCGTGGTGACCCCCCCCCAAACCATACAGTTATTTTCATTGCTACTTTATAACTGTCATTTTTGCTACTGTTATGAATCGGGCAATCCCTGTGAAAGGGTCAAAACCCACAGGTTGAGAACCGCTGCCCTAGGGGGTCCCTACGAGCCTTTTAAACTACAGGGGCATTTGATTCCACCTTGGCTCGAAGGCAGTGAGTCTCTGAGTTACATGGGGTGACGGGGAGACAGACTGGCTGTGAAGGGAGGAGGTCTTTCTAGCCCTGGGGCAAGCTGGCTTAGGACAGGATAGGCAGGTCCCCTACAATCATATCAAGTGGAAACGGGCGGGGACACTGGGCAGAGGAGGAGATCACGTGGAGAGATCATGGAGACGTCTTAGAGAAAGAGGCTGGCCATTCCCAACTCCTGGACTCCTTGCTACCTTCTTGTGCCTTCTCCAGGCTCCATGCAGGAACCCCTAGTGCCCGCGCACGCCCCTCCCACTGGCCCGACCTCTCCCCTCCAGAGACCGCTGCCCCCCTCCAAGGTCCTGGGGATACTGGCCATCAGCAGGCTGCCTCCCAGCCTCGGGCTCTGTGCCCCGCCCCCAGCCCTGCCATGCCCCTCTTCCAACCAGAACCCACCATCCCCCAGGAACTGCAGAAGTGCCAGGTCAATGGGCCGCTTCCAGTGGGAGTCTTTCTGCATGGCGATGCCGTAACCAGTGGTGGCAAAGACTTTGCCGGACCCAATGGTGACCAGCTTGCAGCCTTCGTCCTTGCCCGCCATGTAGTTCAGGACAGCAGCATCATAGATGAACGCGTCCAGCTTCCTGGGGACAGGCCGAGCTTCAGTCCCAAGGACCACCCAGCCCAGACCCTCTCTCCCTGCTCTGAGGCCCCTCCCCTGAAGGACTCCGCCCAGTCCCTGGGGGTAGAGAAGGTGACAGCCATCCCTCAGGTCAAGGCAGGGTCCTGGCCAAGACCACAGCTACCTCTCTGGGCCATGCAGTCAGTGTCCCATTTTTGTCCCAAGCCCCACCCTGCCCCAAAGCCTGCCCTCCTTCAGGACCCTCCTACCCCAGCCCTAGGCGTCCACCAGGGTTGGCCCACGACAGGGTCTCTGGGACGGGGCTGAGGCTAGTCACTGGGAGAGGGGACGCAGGAGTAGGATGGTAGGCAGAGGGCAGGGGGTGGGGGGCAGGGGACGGGGCCCACCCCATCTTGAGGCTGGTGAGCGCGTCCTCCACGGAGCGCTGGTTGAACCTGACCATGTGGGCGTGCATGTCGCGGTAGTTACTGCGGATGTTGCGCTCGGTGCTACCGTTGGGCACGGTGCCGAAGCGGAAGGGCGGGTACTGGTCTTGAGGCCGCTGGAACTGCAGGCAGGGACCAGCCACCACTTGTACCTTCCCACCCAGGGTGCCCCACCCCCATCCCACCTGGGATGCCCCCCTACCCTCACCCGTATCTCCAGCACCCAGCCTCTAGTCTGGAGGGGCAGGCCACTGCGCTAGGGTGTTTCAGGACAACTAGGCCCAGGGGAGGGAGAAACTCCTCACCAGAGGCCCCTCTGTAGGTGAGCCTCAGTCATCTCTCTCCCTGCCCCCTCCTCACCATACTCCCCAGCTTCTCCCTGCTGTTCAAATCCCCCCACCCCCAGCTGGCCTGTGTGCACTCACCCAAGATCTGGCCCTGCCCTCGGTGTCCCCTCGCCCACCCGCCGTGGCGGCCCTAGAACCTTCTTGTCGCTGAGGCCGGACACGGTATCGACGTACTGCTCCTGGATCATGAAGGCAGCCAGGTTGGCGGTGTAGCTGGCCAGGAAGATGACGGCGAAGAAGGCCCAAACCAGCACCATGATCTTGCTGGTGGTGCCCCGGGGGTTCTCGATGGGCACCGAGTTGTTGAAGACCAGGGCCCACAGCAGCCACACAGACTTGCCGATGGTGAAGGAAGGGCCCCCCAACTCTGAGGGGAAGGGGCAGTCACGGGGGCCCATCGGACGTCTCAGGAGCCTGCTCACCCACCTCCATGGCCCTGCCTCTGTCGTCCTGGGTATAGACCCATCCCTGCCACTCCCTCCACCCCCACTCCCAGGCCAAGTCTCCGGCTCTCTCTCCTTTCCTCCCTCCCTCCATCTCTCCCCAGCACCAGCACCCTACCCATTCTTCCCTTCCTCCAATCCCTCCTCCTCCTCTCCTTCCTTCCCCCCCTCCAACTCCACTGCCCAGCCGCCATCTGATTGTCCCAAGCCCTGAAATACATACACACACACACACACACACACACACACACACACAGCATTCTTAGAAGGGTCTGAGCCCACCCACTGGGACCTCCATAGCCCGCTCCCTCCTCCAGGCCAGACTGGTGGGTGCTTACTCTTCCCGCTGGTGAGGTTCTGGTTGTAGCTGACGGGGCTGAAGTACTCAAACACGAAGACGGTTATGGCGACCACGGTGAGACACATGACGAACATCATCACCCACACGGCGGGGCTGTAGGGCTCTGCACGCAGGCAGAGCAGCAGCTCAGGGCCCAGCCCTCCCACCGTGGCCCAAAGGGGCCCATCAGCTCCTTGGACTCAGCTCTCCAGCCCTCCTGGTCCCCACCTTCCTCTGCCTTGGGCAGGCTTATCCCACCCCACCCCACCAAGAACCCCTCCTTCAACTTCCCTATTGCCCCGGCTCTCCTGTCCCCTAAGAGGGTCCTTGCCTACTGCTCTCCCCCTTGTCCTCCCACCCCCTGCCTGCAGCCTGCACCCCCCCATCACCCCCCAGCCTGATCCCACAGGGCCACATCACCAAGCTACAAGCACACACTGGTCCCTTCTTCTCTCCACCTCTAGAATTCCCCTGCCTGGCCCACCCCGGCTTGTTCTGCCTGGGCACAGTTGTACTGAGGGGGACCCTGGGGCCAGAGGTGGGTACTCCTTGGATGTAGTGGCAAATCCCCTAAGCAGACCATAGTCTCAGCCGAGGGACCAGGCTCAGAGAGGTCCGGTGACTTGTCCAAAGCCACACAGCAGGATGAGGAAGAGAGGGGGCTGCCCTCAGGTTAGCCCCGCTCGATCCCTGCTGAGCTTCTCCCCTCTTTCTGAACCTTCTTCACCCTCAGCACCCCCAGCCTCTCTAGGGTCCCCCACCCCCTTCAGTGACAGGTAACTTATCCCACCTGCTCCCCACCCAACCCAAGACTGAACACCCAACATCAGCTTCCCTTCCACCCTCTTCCTCCTTCACTCCCACTGTGGGGGGCGCACCCCACGCACCCAGGGCTGCAGTGCTCACCCTCTCCACCCCTGCTCCACGCCCCACCCCCGGGGCTCACCCAGGAAGGCGGAGGGGGACACGGTGCCGTTGCTGCGCGCCACCATGACGCTGATGCCCGTCTCCACAAAGGGGACGGAGAAGTCGACGATCTCTGAGCGCTCCTCGTTGATGGTGAGGGAGCCGATGGCCATGTCCGCACGCTTGTAGTAGACCTGCGGGGGAGGGGCGGGGCCAGACCCGCTGGGGCACCGTCCCATCGCGTCTGCTGCCCGTCCCCACCGCGGTGCTCGGCGCTCAGTAGCCACCGCTGGCCACCCCAGAGGCCATCACAGCCAACCGCTGGTCTCCCTCCAGGACCACCCCAGAGTGACAGCCAGGCGACCCTGGGAGGGGGTGACATCCCTGACTCCACCCCGAGGGGTGCCGAGGTGCCTACCTCCCCGATCATGCCGTTCCACACACCGCGCACGCGCTTGCCGTGCTTCCCGTTGGTCACCAGGTATAGGTCGTAGGAGAACTTGACCACCTTGGCCAGCTGCTTGAGAGTGTCGATGCAGAAGCCCTTGCAGCAGAGCTTGACGTAGGGGGCTGCGTCCCCGCTAAGGCCGCCACCACCAAGAGACCACCAGTCAGCCATCAGGCAGGCGCTGCAGCTCCCCACCCCCACCCCGCTGGGGACACCCCCCACCACTCCCCAGCCCCCAGCAACTCCCCTGCCTTCCCCCCCCCTTCCTCGCCTAGAACAGCGATTTCTTGCGGGAACTGGTGATCACCATTTCCAGGGAAGGCTTGGAGGACAAATATAACTTGCAACTAAATCCGGGTGAGCGGGCGGGGCCTGGGAATGGAGGCGGGGCCAGCAGCGGGTGGGCGGGGTGAC